TGGTGGTGTGACGGTGGCTTGTCTGGCAATGTCTCAAGATTGCTTGAGTCAATTCAGCAGTAAAGGCCGTACCTCTATCGGTGATGACAGCATCTGGGGCGCCATGGCGAAGGACGATGTTCGCAACGAAAAACTAGGCTACCTCATCGGTGCTACCTTTAGGTAGGGCCTTTGTTTCGGTGTAGCGGTTGAGGTAGTCAGTAGCTACGACGATCCATTTGTTTCCTGAATTCAACGTCGGAAAGGGCCCCGGTATATAGGTCCATCCCCATTTGTTGGAATGGTCATCGAGGTGGTTCAATCGGCTGAAGAAAGCCTGCTGGCCTTGTAGGTAGTGTCTTGCGTCGCTAACAGTCTCGGCATGTCCTCACGTAACGAGCGACGTCGGCGGTAAGACGCGGCCACTAGTATACATTTCTTGAGTCCTCCCGAGCGTACGGTAAACATCAAGGTGCCCAGCCGTTGGATCATCGTTCAGGGCCTGGAGGAGTTGTGGTCGCAGAGTTGAAGGCACCACAAGAAGGTACTTGGTTCGAAGTGGCGAAAAATTCGTTTGGAAAAGGCCGTTCCACAGCGGAAACGACGTAAGTGCCCGTTTTAATACCTTCGGAACAACGGAGGTCCTGCCCTCGAGGTATTCGATAAGGCTCCTAAGTTTCGGGTCTGGCCGCTGGCGTTCAGTGAAGTCGTCGGCAGTTATCGTTCACAAGAAGGAGTCGTGATTCAAGTCTTCGGGGGGTGGTGGGCCGACGGGGGCTCGCGACAGGCAGTCGGCGTCGGAGTATTTTCTGCCGGACTCGTAGATGACGGTAATGTCGTATTCTTCAAGTCACAGGCTCCATCGGGCAACGTGACCCGAAGAGTCCTTCAAGTCAGCTAGCCAACACAAGGCGTGGTGGTCGCTCACAACTTTGAAGGGCCGCTCATAACTTTGAACTCAACGTCAGTCCTCGTAAGGTTAGTGAGTGGCTCGGCGATGCAGGCAAAGTATCTGACGAAGCGCCTGTAATAGGCGCACAGGCCGAGAAATTGACGCACGGCCTTCATGTCGGCGGGTGGCGGAAATGCAGTGATGGCCGTTATCGTCTACAGATCAGGTCTGTCTTACTCCGGACTAGATTATCACGTAGCCCAAGAACAAGAGTTCCTCGTACGTGAAGCGGCACTTTTCTGGCTTCAGGGTGAGTCCGGAAGTCTTAATGGCTTGAAGTACAGCTTCAAGGCGCCGAAGATGTTCGTGGAAGTGCGAGAAAAACCCGACGACGTCGTCCAAGTAAACGAGGCAAGTCTGCCACTTCAATCCTGCCATCACTGTGTCCATAACGCGTTGAATAGTCGCAGGTTCCGAGCAAAGACCAAAGGGCATAACCTTGAACTCGAAAAGGCCATCTGGTGTTATAAACGCAGTCTTTTCTCGGTCTATCTTGTCCACATCGATCTGCTAATAGCCTGTCCTGAGGTCCATCGATGAAAGGTATTTGGCGTTGTGGAGTTGATCAAAGGCGTCGTCTATTCGGGTGAGAGGGTATACGTCCATCTTCGTTATCTTGTTGAGTAGGCGATAGTCAACGCAGAAGAGTAGTGTTCCATCCATTTTGTTCACTAGCACCACCAGTGACGCCCGTGGACTCTTTGAAAGCTGCATGATGTCGTCGCGGAGCATTTCGTCGATTCGTTTCTTTATGGCCTCGCGTTCTCGTGTCGAAACTCTGTACGAACTCTGACGGAGTGGCCTGGCGTATTCTTCTATTACGATTCGATGTTTCGCGACAGGTGTCTGTTGAATTCTCGATGACGACGAAAAGCAGATCTTGTATTTCAGGAGCAGGTTCTCGAGCTGCTCTTTTTTATGCGTCGGAAGGTTCAGATTAACGCCGAAAGCTGGTTGAAGATTTTCAGTCATCGGAGTAGAATCGGCGGAATCGGTGAGGGCAAAAGCGTTACTGGCTCCCAGTATCTCTTCGATGTAGGCAACTATCTTGCCTTTTCTCACGTGCTTGTACTCGTTGCTAAACCTCTGAGCATCACTCTTGTGTTCCCTACTCGCAGCTCGGCTATTCCTCTGAGGACGCAAATTTCGCGGTTGATCAGCAGGTGTTGGTCGCCTTAGGATGCCTTGCATGTCAATTCTATAGTGCCAACGGAAATGCTGACGGTGGAGCAAGGAGTAATAGTGACTTGGTCTTCCAGCACATTCAAGGTGTGCCTTCTTGACGACGTGTGCGGCGGCAGTGCTTTTTCTGTGGATAGTGTTATCGACTTTGTTCTCAGGCCGATGACCGCACTGTGAAGGCTCAAGAAGTCCATTTAAAGAATGATATCTCTAGAGCAATGCTGCAGTACAACGAAGCTTGCGGGATAAATGCGACTGTTGATTTTCACTCTAGCTGCGCAGATTCCCGCTGGTTTCACTAGGTGACCTCTGGTTGTACGGATTTCAGGGCCTACCCAAGCGCTCCTAAGTTTCTTCAACTTCGCGGCGAAAGTCCCACTGATCACGGAATAGTCGGCTCCGGTGTCGACGAGAGCTGTGACGCTGTGGCCGTCTATGAGAATGTCGAGGTCGCTAGTTCGTCGCCTGGCGTTGAGTTTGGGTCACGGCGTCGGATAATGGCTATACGACGGTTTGCATCACTGTTTAGACGTTGCGTAATCAAGATTTCTTCTGGTCGCGAAGTTTCGACGTCGGGGCTACGTTGAGGTGACGGTGGGTTGTTGAAGTTTCGCTGTGGTGGTGTCGTCGGCGGTGGAGGACCTTCGGCAGTTCGTCGTGCAGCAACCGCAACTCCATCAGTTGCTGCCCCTAGTTTTTCTGACGCGGGCTAGGCAACCGTCCCCGACTTGGGCCAGTTTACTGACGACGGTGTGGTGACATGTAGTGGCTCTGAGCAACTGACACCAACGCCAACACCGGAACGACCATGGCAACGCCTGGGAATCGACTTGTTCCACTTGGAAGGACGCGACTATACGTCGTCATCGCCGACTACTACTCCAGATTTCCAGAAATAGTCACACTCAGAATTTCGTCAGCAAAAGTGGTCGTTGCTGCGGTCAAGAGTTGTTTTGCTCGTTTTGGAATACCAGATGTTGTGCGGATGGACATTGCACCCCAATTCTCGTCCAACGAGTTCACCGACTTTGCGACGGCGTATCAATTCTGCCACGAGACCAGCATCCCTCGATACCCTCAGAGCAATGGAGAGGCAGAGCGTATGGTGCCTACCGTGAATGATTTGCTGAAGAAAAGCCAGGATCTGTACCTTGCCCTACTTGCATACCGAGACACACCCGAACCTCGCCCTACTTGCATACCGAGACACACCTGGAGGTGTGTCTTGGTATGCAAAAATTTTATCTGATGTTCTGCCACGTTTCCGCTAAGCGTAAGGAATACAGGTGATACGTTTATATTGATAAAGTTAAGCTTTTTTTGAAGGTGACGCGCAATTTACAATCCAACACAGCAATGCGTAGATAGAGAATACAATGGGGAGCGGGTGACATTGTGTTCAATGGCTCTTTAGCACTTTAAGCGTCGAGCTACGTAGAAGCACATGTGTTATTTAAATTTTGCTGTACTTTTTTTACAACAGAGTAGGAGACAGCATTTATATGAATTTGTTCCGAAAAAATCGCTAAGCAAAAGGAGTGTTCACGGAACGTATCCATCACGAGTACATTTCCAAGAGTCCACAGCTGTTTGTTAATTCTATAGCATCCCCTCTAAACGTTCATTCGTGATGTATTGAGTGGTTCAGTTCATGTATTATGGCCAATACAATATATATATATATATATATATATATATATATATATATATATATATATATATATCAACAAAAAAGCAGTCATAAACAAAAGTCAATGGCTTGTACTATAGAAACAAAGGATTCCATCGTGCTACTTTGCACAACACTATCAGGCAACTTGTTCCACCGAGAAGTTGCTGAGAGAAGAGCGAATGTTTATGTAGGTTGACACGACTAGAAGGCTGTCGAATTGTTTTGCTGTGGTTTGTTCATTATGAATGTGAGAAAGGATGATGCAAATAACGTGGCTTCAGAATTTTGAAGTGGTCGTTGTACAGGGGATAAATGAATTCAAGCTTTGAATCAGTTCTTCGTTTTGAAAGTTGTTCAAGGTTTGCTCTCGCTAATAATTCAGAGATGCTAGATTGTCTAGAATAGACAGAATATATGAATCTAGCCATTAGTTTTTGTATGCGCTATATTTTTTCAGTTAGATATTTTTGGTAAGGGCTCCAGATTAAGTCAGCATACTGTAATGATGGTCTAATGAGTGTTTTATATGCATTTAATTTGACATTTGGTGGAGTGTTTCGTAACTTCCTTCGTAAGAATGGTAGCTTGTGTTCGGTAGTCTGACAGATGAAGGAGATGTGAGGATCCCAGTTAAGAGTTGAGGTGAGGATAAGGCCCAAGTATTTTACCTGATGACACTTTTCGAGTGCAATGTTGCCAAGAGTGTATGTGAAATGAATGGGAATCGTCCTATTGGTGAATGTGATGCACTTGGTTTTGGACGCATTGAGTCTCTACCCCATGTATTGCACCACGAACAGATAGACTGTAAGGAGTTGTTCAGTTGGATTTGGTCATTCCGATGGCGCGATATATATATATATATATATATATATATATATATATATATATATATATATATATATATATATATATATATATATATATATATATATATATATATATAGTCCTACAATCCTAGAAGACGTCACAGAAGTCATAGAATCTCGTGTCGGAAGCAGCATGTCATACGTCAATTTAAAGACTGCTCACTCGGAAAACTGAAAGCACCAGACCTGCAGTTTTCCAAAGATTGCTTCAATGATATATGCGATTTTCTGAAAACAGAGTTGGGTAACGTGACATTTCGCTGTAGTTGGTCTTCAATAGGTTGCTGAATGGCGTATAACACATGGCAGTGATTATAAAATATACACGGAGGAAAGTGGGACAAACCTTGGCAAGTCGAAAGATCACGTCAACAGCCAGGTACCTCTGCATGGCCCCTAGCGCCTGCGAGAGCTGTACGGCGCCCATTGTGCTGGTGGCAGTGGTGTTCCAGCCGCTGAGGCCGATCGTTTTCTGGAGCAGGCTCATGAGCTCGTAGTAGAGGCGCTCGCCGGGCTCCATGCACTCGTCGAAGAAGCGGCGCACGTTGGCGAAGCCCTCGCGGTCGTTTCGGATAGCAGTGACGAGCGTGTTGGTGTAGGCCTCCAGCATCAGGTCGTCCACCGAGACGCCCACCTGGCCCCGCTGCAGCGGATGTGCCTGCTCCCAGTTGCGGCACACGTGCTCGTAGAAATCGTCGCACGGGTCCACGCTTCGGTTGAGCTGGCGAAGCAGCATCCGCGACTGCTCGAAGCAAGCGGCCGACGCGCACGGACCCCAGGGCACGGCTGCGTCGAACGGCTCCGTGCCGTCGCTGGTCGTTGCCGCCGCCTCCTGGATGGAACTGCCCGGCAGCGCCGTGTTCCACAACGCGAGAATCAGGGAAGGCGCGTTCGGCATCGCTACCCATACGAAAGTAGTAATCACCACCGAGCCGAGAAGCAAAGCGAACAGAAATATGGCCGTTTCCCAGCAGACAGCTGCCCAGTTGCACAGCCGCTTGCGAACGTGGACGTCGTCGGCGGTCGTGGGCGCTGCGGCATTGGAAGCTGGCTGAGCCGCAGTGCACTCTGCGGAGTGCTGCGGCGATCCACTGCCAGTCTCGCTCTTGTCCTGGATGCTCAATTCTTCTTCGCATGGTGGGCTCTTACGCTGAGACTCGTTCGCGGCTTGCAGGCAGGCACTCATGTTTTTCACGAAATGGTGTACAAAAGCAGGAGGCTTGCTTGCTTCCTTGCTTGTTCTTATATGCTTTGGCTCGTACCCACTACAGGGGATGGGCCATTATACCGGCTGTTATTCTTATAGGGAAAAACAAATCTTTAAATTTTGATGAAGAATAAAATAATTCTTCAGGCATCTACGGAATATAAAGATGGGTAATCATAAAGTACGAATAAAGCAGGTAAATAACTAATAATTGAAAGGAGTAAATAGATGGTAATTCCAAAAAACTAGAGTTTCATTGTTTAAAAAAGGAAGAAGGAGCTATCTGCTAGACTCCGGCACTGACACCTGGCAGTAGAGTTCTTTGCCTGGCGAACGATTCTGATAACGTCCTCGAAAAAAAGGCACAAACCCAATGGATGTGGGGGCCAAAAATTAGGTAGTAAGGAGAATGTAAACCATAAAACAGAAAAAAAAAACCTGTCATAAATAAAATAAGTTTTTCGACAGTGGTGGACCTTGTGAGGGTGAGAGATGGTGAAAGCAAGCAAAAAAGAATATAAAAATGTTTTCAGCAAACTTTGAACGCAATTATTAGTACTCGTTCAGGCTGTAGAGGTTTAAAAAGTGTACTGAAACCACGAAGGGTGCAATAAAGACCAATTAAAGTGTAAGGCCTTAACATTATTCGTTCTGGTTTCGCAGAGGCTATCATAGGTAGATGCACCAAAAATCATTCTCATGACTGCGGTCCAGTACGGAGATCCCAAGGCATGCAACATAAACATGACAAATTATTACAAACGATTTCTAGGAGTTCCTTTAAGTGATACAGCGTCTGAAGATTTAAAAAAAAAGAAGTGTTTTATCAATTCTAGCAGACATCATGAAGAGGAGATAGTGCCAGACCCGAGCAAAAAAAGAAGGAGAAGAAGAAACGATGGGCCATGATGCGCAACGCGGTTACCAAAACAAGATAGCGAAATCGCATGAAATTTTGTGCATTTTTCTAATCACAGAAGCATCCTGTCCTGAAACAAATAATGCCTACATTTAGTTGATTGACGTTAGCTGTAGTCACATTCATTAAAAACCGCCGAACCGTACAAGACAGAGCGTACCAGAGAATCAAACATAATTGTGTAAATTCACGTAGGGATCCATAGTACCCAAATTAACTAAACAGATAGTGATGTGCATTCACTGAATCGCAAGAGAATCGACACTTAGGCTACTTGGTGGAGATGAATGGTATAACTGTGGTTTTAGAGCACAAAGAGACACAAAGAAACACAGGACAAGCGCTTGTCCAGTGTTTCTTTGAGTTTTTTCATGCGCCAAAACCACAGTCATACCATGAATTCACTGAATTCCACTCAACACCAACCTTAGGTTGCGCCTATTCAAATTTGCGTCTGTTAAAAACATTTGCCATTCACACCGGCATAGATGCGCACAAGCACTTTGCCGCAACATAATACCTATATATATATCGCATGGCTTGTATACAGCCAATTGACCGACATGATGCAAAGCATAGTTGCTTCAGCAAGGAAGAGAAAAAAAATGAATTCGTGCAACGTAAAAAATGACTGGGGTCTTGAAAAATGTAAGTTGTGTTAGTAGTGATATGAAAATCTCGCTGTGGCTCACAATGGTTCTGCTAGGCTATCCATATCTGCTACAGCGCATGAATATCCGGAAAGAAGACGTCTAGCGTCTTGCCTCTTCAACGCAAGAAAATTATACGCGTCATTATTCGGGGAGATCAAAAGACGTGTGACTCGACATCAAAGGGGCCCTGCAAAACTTTTTCAGGTAGCCTTATAATGATTTCACTGAAGAAACTTATTGCCTCCGCAATTTTTTTTAGAATCCATCCAGCACGAGCAGAGTTATAAAGATTTGTCGCGCACTGCAATTGCATTTTTTCGGCTCTTGTCCCGTCGAAAGCGCTGGAAGCTAAGCAGGGAGGGGCGGCATGGGGAAAGAAAATACGTGACGCATGCCCGGTGAACTTGAGCGCTTTTTTTTTTTTGAATACACGGCTTTTTAGGGCGATCTTGCGCGCACGCGTGGGCGAGCCACGGCCTCTCGCGGCGGTTCCTGTAACGACCGTGCTCCGTGTTCAAATCAGCCAATGGCTGATACAACGGCTGTGACGAGTGATTTTTGAGCTTGTTCCGTCATTTGTCGAGAGAAGGGAAAGCAATTTACGGCTGACTTTGAGAACCTAATGTGGATTCTCGGTCGCGTGCTGCGCTATAATATTTGGCTCACGTGTTCCCGGGAGCCTCTATATTACTGATCGGCGGCGTTTTCCGACCATGCTCAAAAGAGTCCCGTTAAAGCAGTCATTCGACTTGCACAGGGGCGGATTAATCCACGATATTACCCTCTGCATCCCACACACACTTCCATGCAACCCAACCGAGATACGCGTATAGAGGAATGTATCAATTTGCCTCAAATCACTGGTCATCATTTTTATAATTTTTTCTAATGCAATTCAAAAATATTAGATAGATATGTAGAGTTCAACGTTTCAAAACCCCCACATGATTATGAGAGACGCCTTAGTGAAGGGCTCCGAAAATTTCGACCACCTGTGGTTCTTTAACGTGCACCAAAATCTGAGCAAGCGGGCCTACAGCATTTTCGCCTCCAACGAAAATGCAGCTGCCGCAGCCGAGATTCGATCCCGCGACCTGCGGGTCAGCAGCCGAGTACCTTTTAGAAACAGACGTGCGATTTTTGTGCATTTCACACAGGCGTGGGATTTTCCGTACATTTCCAGCAGACGTGCGATTTTCCGTGCAATGCGGCGTGTCGCATGCGACGTTTCGGGACACACAGGGACGAAGGAGCTATCAGCGGCAGGCTCCATCCCCATGTAGCGCCTCGGCATCAGTGGCGAATCCAGAGGGGGGCATTAGTGGCGGATCCAGAGGGGGGTGGGGCGGAAGGGGCGATCACCCTCAAGTTCCGAAGCCTGTCAGTACCCCCCTCTTCCTCTCTTCAGTGCTAGCCATCCACCTGTTATCAGTTAGGACAAATGAGTGGGACCGCTGTGGGCAAACATTGACAGTATTTGTGCCATTGCAGGGTTTTCGTGCTAGTAAAAAACAAAAAACAATGACCACGTCCCCTAGAATGTTCATTCAAGTGACCCCCCCTCCTTAAATTGGGTGGCTGGATCCACCCCTGCTCGGCATGCACCGTCGGACGACTTCGTATTATCGTAATGAAACTCAAAGCAAACGACGTTTCACAGCCACGCTTCGTTCTATAAAAATAATTATAATACGCCTTCATCAACGACAAGCACGTCGCAACAGCAGCAACAGCTGATTATTGACGACTCCGACAGGTAGGCCTAGCATGGCGGGCGCCGGCCGTGGCCATCACCGTTCACACGCGAGCTCGTCATCGAGCGCTTGTTTTTTGACAACGCTATTAAGTTTTGCACACGTATGTAATGCGTTAGCATACGCTATTACTTTCTTGATGTCATCAATGTGAAGAGCAAAGGCGGAAGTGAAGCGAGCCCGCTCACAGAGACGCCAGTGTCGCTGTGTTTCCTTGCGGGATGACCTTGCATCGCTGCTCATGATCTCCGATCTCGCTAATGGTTTCAAAACGAGCGTTGTTTTGCAGAAATGGCACATTTCAAACATTACTTTACTCAATCCCAAATAATTTCACTTCACGAAGGAAATGTACTCGATGTTTGTCACGCCACGGGCCGCAGTCGCGATGTCAGCAAATCCACGCTCGCACCACTCCATCGACTCGCTTGAACAGTGAACTGGCTGCAGTCTGGCCTGGACCAACGTTTCTGCTAGTTCTAGAAACGTTGGCCTGGACCACGGGTGATGGGAGTGGTGGCAGAGAGATGGCGCCACAAGCGGCGTGACGCCACTCGTCTGCTCCGGCTGTGATTGCCGGCTGCCATGCGGCGGTGCGATGCGGTGACGAAAATATCTGGCCGGTTTGATACTCGCCGGACCGGCTATACGCGGTGGTGTTTCTCGCTGTCTGAATTTCGTGCCGACCGGTTGTGCCCCCACCATTTCCGACGACAGCGCAGCTCTGGCCGACCGGGCTCGCCCTACGCCATCTCCGGACGCCGACAAGAGCTCTCGCCGAGTGGTGCCCCATCCTCGGAATCCTGCGACCGTGTCCATCTTTCCTATCTCCTCTTCACTTTCGCCGTTTTCTATCGTTTGCTGTCCTTGCGCCTCGCTCTTTCCTTTCTCACTCAATCTCTTTACCTTTTAATCCCTGCTTACCCCCCTTCCTCATGAGCTACTGTGTCGCACTCTGATTCAGACAGTTACGGGGCTCACTTTTCGCTTTAAGAATCACACAAGTTTTTTCTCCTTTCACTCCCCCTGCCCCCCCCCCCCCGCATGGAGACGTGAAGGTGCCTTCGTAATTAAAGAATAACAGCTCCGCGCTTTTTAGGGGCGAATCTCCTTATAGCGGCACCCGTTTGTCCCTCGTAGTCGTCGTAGTTGTCATCGTGTGTAACCAGTGTTACATTTTGACCTCCAAGGTGTTGCCGGTGAAAGATTTCTTCTGTGTGTTGCTGAACAATAAAAAATTCGCAGCGTGCGCGTTAACTAAAAGCCGAATTCTCCTGTCTCTCATTCCCCTTTAGGAGCCATTGGCATGTACATTGAGCACTATCTGACAAGAGAGGGTTGCTACGTTATACTCGCTGGGCATAACCTCCTTGGTTTTAGAAAGGTTTAGTGAGCGTTAGGCCGCAGTGCCATGAATACGGTGAACTAGTATATACCATGAACTCGAGGTGGTTAAAGGTGGGAAGTAGACACGAAGCGCAAGCCGGAAGAAAGTGTGCGTGTGCCAGCTCTCGTTTAGTCCTTGGAATGTCCGCTGGATGGCGGTGCTTCTATATGGGGAATATACGATTAAAAGATGCGAGATGGTGGTACTTGGAGTGTTGAATAGATGGATGAACGGACACATAGACAGATGCATGGATGAACGCATGA